GTTCGGCTCGAGAGAGGATGAACCGTCTGGTATTGCACCTTGCAGCCAATCTTCCTTTGTCCTTGCGCGGGCCCGCTGCTGCTGCTGCCGCCGCTGTCCGACTCCGTCTGGTTGCTTAAGAAGATGTCGGCGCGACGTGACCGGCATCTTAGGGAAGCAGGGCCTCGCCGCCCCGCGCCCCGCGCCCCGCCGGCCAGCACAGCAGCACTCGCTCCAGCATCCCGCTGCCAGGCCAGCCTCGGCACTCGGACGGATCGCAAGAAATAATAAAAACATCGTCACATCGAGGTGGCTGATGACTCGGCGCGCGCCACACTGTGCCGGCACGCACGCGTGCGGGTGTGTTGCCTACCCGCCCGGCGCCGTAAGGCATTGAGGTCCCTGACCTGAAGTCAGAGACGATATGCAGTCGGCCACAGTGCTGGGCGGCGATGTTATGAGCAAAAAGGGAAGCGCCTTGGACGCAGTGTGCAGCATTAGCAGCATCAGCAGCATCGGCAACAGCAGCAGCACCTGCACCAGCACCAGGTCGTCGACAGGGCGACCGCGGACGACACAAACGTAAGAGGGCAGAGGACGAGGAAGTCGTGCGGTGGGCCGTGGGCCGTGGTCGTATGGGCATGGGCAGGCGGGTGAGGGCGGGCGGAGGGTTCACTTCTGAAATCGAAATAAGTATGTCTGCGGGATTAACCACATGTGACCGCACGTCCCGGTGCCACACAGCACCATACATCGGCGGCCGCTGACCACAGCGGAGTTGCAGGCTCGGGGTGGCGCTGTGTCGGCAGGGGCCAGGCTCGCTCCCCGTCACAAAGCAAAACCATGTAAGAAGTCTGATGGCTGAGAGTCCCACGACGCGGTGGAGTATACTACTGGAACGCTGCAGTGTTATTAGTGACCTCCTTGTAACTCTTATGACCGTATAACCTCTTCGTGGTGGTAATAATAATTCTTCCAAAGCAAATAAGAAAAGAGAGACGGATTGAGACACACACACACCGCGTCGTAATCTACTATGCGTAGGCACGGAGCAGCGTATGACGTGATGTACGGGACGGGACAGGTCGTTCCGATTTTGCCCATATCTCAACAAGTGGTGTTGGTTATGGAAGCGCAGCCTGGAACACGCGCCGCCCTGCCGTACCCTGCCGCCGCCGCAGCACCGCCGCCCTGCACGTACTGTACCGGCCGACTGCGGACATTCCTGCTGCTCCCGGAGACTTTACTACACAGGTGAGCAAGCAGGCTGCGGTCGTGTGGGTATCCCATCCCGGCCCGAACGTAACGACCCTAATGGAAGCTCTGGAGAGACCCATACGATTCGGCTGAGGGCATTGAGGGGGAGAACAAGCCGCGGGCCAGGCGAAGCGTAGGTGTGGCTCCACGCCTTGTGTGGCACGCACCAGCCAGCTAGCTGTGCCCACCCTGCAGGCCCGCCAGCCTGCCAACAAAACTATGAGAAATCACGGCGCGCGCGGCCAGCGTTGCGTGTGTTTCTGTTGTGATGGTCGAGCTTTTTGAGTTTGGTGTCGCCGCCACGTGTGCTCAGCGTGACAAAGAAGACGGAGAAGAGCGAGGGGGCGAGTGGGTGGGTGAGGACAGTAGTAGTGCGCGGCGCGCGTCGTTAATACTGCACGAGGTGTACTCGGGCCGCGCGGGTCGTCTGCCGCTAAGTCCACACGGCGGCCGAGGCACGCGCGGGCACGCGCTCCGGCGGCGCGGCGGCCCTCGTGCATTATCAATGACGACATTCAGTTGGCTCCACAGGAGCGCCATGGTCGATCGCCGAGGTATTGACCGGCGACGGTGACCCCCCGGTGACCCTCGTCCATGCGGCAGTGTGTTCCGGATCGGTCGGGATCAGGCTTATCTCCACGCACCGAACACCGGACGGATCGGGTCGGGTCGGGTTCGGTCTCGAACTCGTGCGACTCGCCAGCGCGTTAGGTTTGTCGGCGACATGTGTAAGCCCGCCCGATGCTGAACACTGCCATGAGCGCGTGATGGTCCGGATAGAGTACTCGCCCCCGCTCCGCTCCCACGACGCCGTTCAGGACCCGCTTTACTTTTCCGGGCCGCCGGTAATCGTCGGAGGGCATCGGCATGTGGCAATGCCAGGCCGGGTGCTATATCTGGCTCCGGGGGGCGCAGGGCGGCGCAGGGCAGCAGGGTGGGTGTCGGCGGCGTGCCCGGCCCGGCCCTCGGCCTGGGCTGGCCACAGAGCGAGGTGGTGGTGATGACTCGCTCGTTTCATAATCGACCCCTCAATCAGTTTCCGTGTCCCCGTGCCAGCCGCGCGCGCCCTGCCAGCAGCAAGGCTTCCGCGCGATGGCGTTGACAAGCTCTGACCCGACCTGCCTGGCCCGGCCCGCAGAGGCTCTGTTGCACTTCTAGGCCACCCTCCTCGCCCGCACCGCGTGGGGCAACACTGTGGGCCCGCCGCCCACCCGGCCCAGCCCGGGCGAGTTGCACACTTGGGCACCTGAGCAGGCTTGGGGTGCTGGTCGCCCCTTCGCCTTCTCCAGGGCACCCCCCCTCCCCCCCGCAAGTCACTAATCATCCCCTGATGAAATTCCAGCCATACGTCGTACTCGGAAAACAAACGGCACGTGAACCTCGCGCGGCCCACACTTCGTCGGCCTTCCGTCCGCTGGAGGCGTATGACGAGCAAGCAGAGCTCGCGGAAAAACGAGGGAAAAGTTCATCAGGCACCACTCCCCTCACTGTGAGCAGCTGTGAGTGGGCTGGTCTTGAGGGACTTCCGGGGATCTGAAGTCTCTGCCTCATACCTCAGTAGGCTGAAAGAATGTTGCGGCATTTCAGAGCCGAGCAAATGAACGCGATTCCACAAAACTATGTCACCCCCGACCACCCCAAAGGGGTAATTACGTACGGACTTTCTTACGAATTTCTTCGAGGTTTTAAAGGAAAGATCGAAGCGAATCTAATCTCGGGACAGTGTTTATCTTGATTCAGCATTTTCAGACGTTTAGATTTTAGAATGTAAGGTAAAGGCTGCTACGTCCTGACAGAAAGCGGCACATATGTCTGCACATAACGGCCTCGGCTGCCCAAGCGCAGATCGCAGATGTACCTGGGACCAAGAAAGCATTCCGGTGAGCGCAATCCGTTTGCTGACAGTAGCGGCGGCCTCGCGTGTTTGACCCCTGCTCCGCCGCGCCCGCACCTTTGAGCAATTCCAGGAGGACATTTCTTTTCCCCTCTTAAAACGTCTCTTAATTTTTTCGTGATTTGAAAGGGAAGATCAAAGCGAATCTAATAAAGCATTTCGGTAAAGCTGAATTGCAGAATAATGCAAGGAAGAGGAAAACGGAAATCCTTACGTTTTAACATGATTACTTCCGTTTTCTTGTTCCCTGCATTCTTCTGCATTTCAGCTTTACCGGAATGCTTTATTAGATTTGCTTTGATCTTCCCTTTCAAAAACACGAAAAAATAAGCGTTTTAAGAGGGTAAAATAAATGTCCTCCTGGAATTGCCCAAAGGTGCGGGCGCGGCGGAGCAGGGGTCAAACACGCGAGGCCGCCGCTACTGTCAGCAAACGGATTGCGCTCATTACCAGAGTGCGTGCCATGCCGCCCCGCCCCATCCTCTCAGTACGCAGGGCGAAGGGCGCCACTTCAGAAGCCACGTCCTCCCCGTCGAACCGCTGCGCCGAGCTGGCCGCGCTGTTTAAAACTGGGAGGTCGTTTTACGCAGGGCATAATGTGTGGCTTGACTTTGACAACAGCCCGCGCTGCGGCCGCCGCCGCTGTGCTGTCCCCGGGGGGCGGGTCGGCGGGCCGAGACCTGGCCACCTGTTAGCGCCCATGCAGCGGCCTCGGGAGCGGCACACCCCACTCGGGCGCCACCCCCGCGGGCCCGAGGGAGCCAGGCCCGGCCCAACACAGCACCCCCCGCGGCGCAAGCCGTCGCGCCCTGCGGCCCTGCGCCCTGTGGCCGACCACCTGTAACCACGCCCCGCCCCG